AACCAAGAAGAAATAGAAAATATGAACACACCAATTATCAACACTGAAATTGAATCAGCACTTAAAAAACTCCCAACAAATGAAAGTCCAGGACCAGATGGCTTCACAGATGAATTGTACCAAACATTTAGAGAAGAGTTAATGCCTATCCTTTTGAAATTATTCCCAAAACATTGCAGAGGAAGGAACACTTCCAAATTCATTCTATGATACCACTGTCATCTTGATACCAAAACCACAAAAAAAGAAAATTATAGTCCAATATCACTTACGAACATAGATGCAAAAATCCTCAACTAAATACTAGCAAACCAACTCCAACAATACGTTGCAATTCATTAATGGAATAGAAATTGGTGTACTCACTATGGAGAACAGTATAGGGGTTCCCTAAAAATCTAAAAATAGAGCCACCGAATAATCCAGCAATCTAACTTCTGGGCATATATTCAGGTAAAACTATAACTCAAAAAGATACGTGTATCCGTGTTCATAGCAGCACTGTTTATAATAGCCAAGACATGGAAGCAACCTAAATGTCAATCAACAGATAAATGAATAAAGAAGTAATGGAATACTACTCAGCCATAAAAAGAATGAAATAATGCCATTTGCAGCAACATGGATGGACCTAGAGATGATCATATTAAATTAAGTATGTCAGACATAGAAAGACAAATATCATATGGTATCACCTATATGTGGACTCTAAAAAACATTGATACAAATGAACTTACTTACAAGCCAGAAATAGTCTTACAGACCTAAAAAACAAACTATGGTTACCAAAGGGGAAAGGGGCGAGGGGGAGGGATAAATTAGGAGTTTGTTATTAACATATACACACTATTATACATAAAATTAACAACAAGGACTACTGTCTAGCACAGAGAAATATGTTCAATATCTTATAATAACCTATAATGGGAAAAAGTGAAAAATAATATATATGTGTGTGTATGTATGTATGTATAATTGAATCACTTTACTGTACACCTGAAACTAACACAACATTGTAAATCAACTATACTTCTATTTTTTTAAGTCTCTTTTTTTTAAGAGGTGGAGTCTCATTTCTTTACACTAACGATGAATCAACAGAAAAAGAAAGTAAAGAAAC